ACAAATATAACAGATCAAGTGAATGGACCGGGGGGGGGGGGGCGCAAGCCGTAAGCGTCCACTGCACTGTACAGGCCATACAAGGGTGTTCCACAAGGGTAGGCTTTAGAGTCCATTCTTTTTTTAACAACATTTTACAAATATTGGATCTCAATTTTCACAATATTTCCAGGAGATTCCAAGGGGAGAGGGAAAGAGGGTTTATCGTGCTCTCGACACAAACAACGTCATTTTTGGACTAACAAATGGTTTAATTTTATTTCGATTATTCACTTGCGCGTATGGGTCTTATGACTCAGAGAAAACTCACGAGTCTGGACAAGCGACCGTTCTCCTTTTATCATTTGTAGTTTCCAAGAGATTCCAAATCTCTGAAATAATAACCAGTGGCTTCAGTAACTTCAATTGTTATTTGGTTTGTTTTTCAAAAAGATCAACATGATAACGTGTACTAAGAATGATCGATAGACTATTTTGTTATTCTGCGTGTTGTTAAGCCGCCATTTTGACGAGTGACACGTCATCTATTATTAGATTATCATCAACACGAATAACTCACTTTAACTGACAGTATAATGACACCCTGAATTGTACCGATACAGATCGCTCACTTAATCTGTTAAGGCGTCACTTGTCTTACGGTTATGAAAACAATACTCATTCTTGAAAAAAGTCACTTTTTTATTATGTCTTTGATAAACCAACCCCTCGAGACTGGACACCGCGTGACTATTTCTGGACTAATGATGATAATCGTCATAACCACAAAGATCCCTGTGTTGACCGAGAATGTTCACCCATCAGTGGAGCAGGACAGAGTGCCTGGCAAGGGAAAATGTATAGTCGTTGGATTGAGATGAAAAACCAAGGCACCACGTTCACATTGGTGTGCACTTAAAAAAGTACCCTTGACAAATCCGTTCCAGGCCACTTGGCTTCCAAGACCCCCCCCCCCCATGATATACCCATGCCCTTTCATGGATTACTCGAGTTTTCAGTTGTTGCTTTGTTAATCAAGTTGACATTTTATATTGGTTTTAAGTCAGATACAGTACAATAAAAAAAAAGCCCCCATCACCCATGCCACAGGTCAAATTGTTGTACGGATGTTTGATGTTTGATTTTCACACGTCTATATCCTACAAATGACAAATGCACAGGGGAGACCCAAACCAAAAAACGTCGGTTACGGTGTCGATTTTAAACTCCCTCAAGTAGCGGACCCAGTGCAACTGCACATCCCTACATCCCTGTGAGAAAGATATAAACGTTTAGGCATTTTAAAAATATTGTTTACATTCGTTAATTAAACTAATTTATAGACTATTTGGCCAATGGTTTGAGGACAAGTTAATCCATGACATTGTTGGTTGTACCTGTGGACCTGAATTTAAATACAGACATAGACTTAAAACAATAAGAAGTTAGATGAAAGTCAGAAAATTTGACATTATAAATCAACCAATTTGATTAAAACACAGATCCTATTTCGTTTCGTTTTCTAAAGTTCAAAATTCGGTTTACTTGTCTTTACTACACTAGAATTTGGAGGAGTTTTTATATAACCCGCGTTCTTGATGATGTGAGGGATTAGCCAATGAAACGGTCTGTTACGGCGAGTTTTTGGCGTTAGGTACACGGAATTTGTTGGCTAACCAACTAGAAACATCAACGCTGATTGGTTAATGAAATGTCTGACGTTATAGGTCAAAATCCGCCCGTATGATCTCTGACTCGACCTTCCACTACAACCGGTCAGATCTTCATGTAGTAGAGGCCATCGAAAGTATTAAACAAAAAACTAAAAGAAAATATAGATCTGTATTTTTATCAGAATGTAAATTATCAGCATTATTAATTTAGATAATTCTAACAGTTTAAAGGGAAATGAAATGTAATGAAATGAAATGGGGTTTAACGTCCTACTGTTCTGCTCCTAAACTGGGCTAATGAAGACGAGCATACGCCATACAGTGTGCTGTGAGGGAAATGTTGCCCAGGCAGCGGCACTATCGCCTACTCTTATATCGAATTCCAAATGCCAAGGGATCTTTTACGCATTCTAATGTATACACGGGACCTCGGTTTTTCGTCTCATCCGAAGGACTAGACAGATGTCCTTGTCAGGTCCTCCGTTCTGCACCACTGACAAGGGGAAACCACATCGGAAAATCAGGATGAACTTTCTCGGCCAATGCAGTGATCGAACACCCGACCTCCAGGCTAGCGAGCCAGCGTCTTAACCACCCAGCCACCAGTTTAAAGGGCTTATGGCTCTATATTCGTTGGAACCTTAAATGTGTGTAAAAGGACACACATGTTATATGAATGTAAATAAAGTGATATATTCAATTTTCAATATATTTATTGTAATTTCTAATCAGGTTCGGTGAAATCTGAACGAAAGTTGTTTACGCCTGCTTAATCCATTCTACACAGGTTCGGTGAAGTCTGAACGAAAGTTGTTTACGCCTGCTTAGTCCATTCTACACGTTTTTGTTTTTGTTTTTTTTAAAAATATTTTGTTGTTTGTGAATCCGCCATTACTAAGTACTACCGCATTGTCTTATAGGATATGTCTTTCTTTGAATACAAATGGCACCCGAAACCATAGGGTAAACGACTCGTGTACCGATTATAAGATGTTAGTTGTGTCTTAAATATTGGATATTAGGGTCCTATATTTTTCAAGGCAAGATAACAACATCAATAGTGATTGAAATTGATCAATATTAATTCGTATTTTCAATTTCGAATATTATGGATAACGTTATGCGTACCGGAAACAAACATTGGATTGATAGCTAATAAAAACCAAACTAATAATTTGAATATTGGGTCGGTAGCTAACCAATTTAATAATTTGAACATAGGGGTGATAGCTAACCAATTTAATAATTTGAAATGTTAAATCTGGATGTGCTTGGGAGAGAGAGAGAGAGAGAGAGAGAGAGAGAGAGAGAGAGAGAGAGAGAGAGATGTGGTTTAACGTCCACTCGACACAAACTAGGTCATTTCGGGACTAACATATGGTTTAATTTTATTTCAATAATTCGCTTGCGCGTAGGGGTCTTTAGCAGTTGGAGGAAACCGGAGGACCCGGAGAAAACCCACGAGGATGGACAGGCGACCCTACTCCTTGTCACGTACAACCGGGGATTCGAAACCACCCCAGTCGACTCAATGACAGACTTTATGATACAGCGCGCGCACGCTAACCATTCAGCCATCCAACCCCCCCCCCCGGATGTGCTTGGGGGGGGGGGGGGTATTTTTTTTATAAAATAATAACAATATATCACTTTAACATTACTTGGTAGATGAGTTTGACAACTATTGAGGCAATCGGGATCATTTAAGTACACGTAAGACACTCTGTGTTTACGCAAAATAAAGATGCATTATGTAAGATTTAGATAAAAGGCTGATCGTTCTTGCTGTAATAGTTTAAAAGTAGATAATTATAAATGAATATATTGCATCTTTAAAGTAATGTGACTCTTCTGTTTAGCTTTAGACAATTATATAGATAGAACAGTAGGACGTTAAACCCTATTCCATTTCATTTACCCAATTATGGAGGCCCTTTTAAATGATAGGCTTTCGGTTTAAATTAACCGCTGTGAAACGACTGATCCAACACCCTGATCCGAAATGAAATGAACTGAAATGGGGTTAAACGTCCTACTGTTCTGCTCCTATGTTGGGCTAATGAAGACAGGCATATGCTATACAGTGTGCTATTAGGGAAATTTAGCCCGGGCAGCATATCGAATTCCAACTGTCAAGGGATCTTTTACGTGCATTCCAATGTATACTCGGGACCTCGGTTTTTTCGTTTCATCCGAAGGACTAGACAGCTGTCCTTGTCAGGCCCTCCGTTCTGCACCACTGACAAGGGGGTACCACGTCGGGAAAAATGGATGAACTTTCTCGGCCAATGTGGGGATCGAACACCCGACCTCCAGGCTCCCTGATCCGAGGTAGAGAATAGTTTAAAGTCTGATCAACGTCTATAAGCTACTTCGGTCATTTTGAAACTAACATGGACCCGCCAATGTATACAGGGGTGGACCTCGGGTTTTGATTCCACCCGAAGGACTATATAGGCACTGTATGGAAAAGAATTTAATACTTCGGGTTTTTATTCCAACCGAAGGACTAGGCACTGTGTGGAAAAGAATTCAATACCTCGGATCTTTATACCAACCGAAGGACTAGACACTGTATAGAAATATTTCCGGTACAAGAGATTATTTTATTTATAGGAGAACTCAATGGAAGAACATGATCTTAGGTCTAAATAGATCATTTATATCCAAGATAAAATAATTATTCCATTTCACAGAATTCATTGTACGTTAGTCATCAAGTTGATCGATAAACGCATGCATTTTATATTATTCATAGAACCGGTGTTGAATAATCAAATCGTAATAGCCACAATTAAAAATCTCTGTCTTTTGTTCTCGGTTAACCATTAAAACAGTGACTCACTCTACCATACAAACAAAACACTACATCTCAATTCCCAGTCGCTTTTAAATCTGAAACAAATCTGGTCCGCCGCGTGGTGTATCATAGGCCTTACAAATCGATCGACAGTTTCTTCCTAATCCCCAAAAAACAACTTTCACAAACAGTTTAAAAATGTTTTTGAAAGTTGTAAAAAGTCCATCTTGAATTTGTTAAGAATTTATCTTTTAAATGTGAAAATCTCTCTGTTTGGATAACGACATGGGCGTTTAAGATCGATGACGTAATAAACACGCACACGTGCTTTACCGACCCCTGTTCAAAATGAAATTATTCGTCGAATAAAGAATGTTTTGCGATTATCCAGCATTATTCAGTAAGTCAATCATAATCTACAAATCAGGATTCGGTAGACCGGTTAATCGCGACAATAACCAGCTAAATGCGTGTCACATTTCCGTAAATACTTGTTTCATCGGGGAAACTGCAAGGCGTGAACTTTGACCTGTGATACGTGACGTCATGGTTTGTTATCTTTCACCTGGCTGAGAGCAGACGATAGTTAGTTGGCGGTTCATGACGTTTTGTTGTCTGTTGGGTTATTATGACCAAGTCAGATCTATTGAAAGGATAAAATTATATCGCGGATTGTTGTTGATAAATCTATTCACCGGAGTTGGGTCCGGGTTTATAATCCGTGACTGCGTCGATCGTTTTGATAGAAGTTTGTTAAATTTATTCAGTGGAAGTTTGACTGGCCGAGGAACAGCGAACAGTGTTTAGTGATAAGCTTTGGTAAGGTGATTTATATATCCTAAATAGGATAAAAATTGAACTCGGGGTGGCAAGGCAATGGAGTAATATAGCAGTTTGAAGATTGTACTTTTATAATCGGCATAAAATGACCCAAATGGACAGTCCTCGCAGACGACTAACCAGACGTGAGAGGAGTGAAGTCAACATTTGTGTCAAATATCTGCTATTCTTTGAAAACTTTATAGCATGGGTGAGTATTGTTTTTATTTTTATAAATATCGTTCTGATGGAACAAACAACACTGAGGTCTGGCGTAACAGAAGCCTTTGACAGCCTGAATTCGATATAAGAGTAGGCCATAGTGCCACTGTCCGGGTACAATTTGTCAGCTCAGTTCGGAGCAGAGCAGTACAGGACGTTAAACCCTATTTCATTTCATTGTGCATTTGTTTTTGTAAATAACATTTTAAAATGTTTGTTTTTTAATACTATTTACACCTTCTTGTTTTCAAAACTATCGAATATATTTTCAATATTTTTGATACAAAAGTGACGAATATTCGCCGCAGTAGAAATAAAATGGGGTTTAACGTCCTACTTTTCTGCACCAACCGGTCTAATAAAGACAATCATGCAGTTCGCTGCTCTTTGTATTTCGATTTCCAAATATGAGTTAATCTTTAGCGTTATTTGTTAATGACACACATCGAACCTTTTTTTTTGTATTATCCGAAAGACTAGATACTTCACTTTGCCAGAAGAAATATTGTTGACAAGTGTTTTGACATGAACTGTTGACCGTTGTCCATATACCGTGACAAGAGGACATGACAAACAATATGAAATACTGAATATTTGTGTCACAAAGAGAAATAAATGTAATTAATTTTAAATACGCTGAAATAACTGTATTATTTTGAAGAAGAATGACTAAGGGTATGAGTAAGTGAATTCGATCTATTACACAACCTGAATCATGACATCGATTGATTTCTGGTTTTAAAGTGCAAGGTGTATATACAGCAAGTAAACCTTATCTACGTTCTACAGACGACATTCAATGAAATGTGGGCCTACGTATCTTCACCAACCTAGCTGAAACTAAATATTGCGCGATCAGCGGAGCTTCCCTTCCGTCTTCTTCTTTTCCTTGAATGTTTGAATTACAAATGTCAACTGATCTTTTGGATGGAAGGGTGGGGTGGGAAGAGGTGGGCGTGGTGGTGGTGGTGGTGGGGGGGTAACACGTACACTTTCAATCATAAGATCTGTCATTGTGGTCTGACGTGGGTTTAATTCCCAGCGTGTACGTGACGGAAAGTAGGGTCACCTGTCCAACCTCGTGGTTTTTCTTCTGGCCCTCCGGGTTCTTCACTCTATTATAGACCCCACACTGTAGCGAATTCTTGAAATATAATTGACACACTCAGCTATAGACCCCTCTACGCTGTAGCGAATTCTTGAAATATAACTGAACCACGGGTAAGCCCCGAAATAACCTATTGCAAAGAGGAAGTTCAGTTAGAGCATGCCCCTAGTTGTGTGTCACACAGCCCAATCACACCCGGTATTGTTCAAACATCTAATAACGTGTTATATATCAGATAAAATAGATCAAGGCAGTTTGTACAGGTATTATTAGGTTGGATCTAAATCAAATACAGATAATGTACTGTCACGATATCAAACATCCGCCGCCATATTGATTTCATATGATACTGTCATATATTTAAATGTAATCTGATAAAAATACAGATCTATATTTTTAAATACTTTTAATGACATCTACTACATGAAGATCTGACCTGTTGCAGTGGAAGGTCGCGTCAGGGGTCATACCAGCGGCTTTTGACCCTATGATATCAGACATTTTTTAAACCAATCATCGTTGATGTTTCTAGTGGGTTACCCACAGACGTGTCCATGTTCCTCACGCCAAAAACTTGCCGTAACAGGCCGTTTGATTGGCTAATCCATCACACCATCCAGAACCCGGGTTATATAACAACTCTTCCAGATCCTAGTGTAGTAAAGACAAGTAAAACGAAATTTTGAACTATAAAAATCGAAACGAAATAGAATCTGTGTTTTAAAGCGGAAATTGAAAAATTTTAAGTTATATTTTTAAAATTTATTAAAATAAAGCCTTAAAATAGATGGTATCCATAAACAGTCCTACCTTGTTAAGAATAATCCTATTAATCCTATAATTCACTATTGCCAGTTGAGAAATTGGCAAAAATATCATTTTCCTCTTCTTTTTTAAACGTTTGAATATCGCTACTCCATGGTGGAGAATGGAAAACAAGGGAGGTAATTGTGTTGTTATTTCCTGTCTAAATGAATCTTAAGTGTGAGAATGACACCCATGATCGTATAATTGTGAGTTGACAACCTATTGAGCAAAAGACATAGAAATAATTACGTTTTGACTTTCTTAGAAAATTTGCAATTTCCGCTTTAATCAGATTGTTTTAAATGGGTGCAAGGAAACGTTAGACACACGATCCATGCTTTCTGTGCCGGTGTCTATAGGAGCCCCCCCCCCCCTTAACCTTAACCCTCTAGTATACCATCCATCAAATAGATAATACCATCCCTGCCCTGCTTAGTGTACGACACCCGTCATTGTTTATAAGTAATGGGAGATATATCTTCTGAAACACACCGACCGACAAAATTGTCACCGCGGAGATAACAAAAGTCTATCAGACATTTAATGAGCATCATTTGTACATCCGGTTTGATGTAATGGGTGGCGATTGATATAATTATGGTTGTCAAATTTAAATAAATTCCGTCTGTCTGTAGTAGACTCGACAGTTAAAATAGATCAACCTTCACCCAGAATGTTTTATAACAGCTTGGTTATATCTCTATATGTTATTAATCTAGGGATCATGGTGGATAAACGTGTTAGGCGCCAGCCAGGAGATGGAATGGGATGAAATAAAATGGGGTTTAACGTCCTACTTTTCCACACTGATTGGGGTAATGAAGACACGGCTTTATTGAAATAAAATTGAATCATGTGTTAGTCCCGAAATGACCTAGTTTGTGTCGAGTGGACGTTAAACCTCTCTCTCTCTCTCTCCCTCTCTCTCTCTCTCTCTCATGAAGACGGAAGATCTTGCTGTTTTCCGAGAAAGCTCCTCTTGGTGTCCAGCTTTGTGGCTCTTGTCAGTAGTGTAGGTGGGAGAGCCTGGCAAGGGATAAAGTCTAGGAATAGCGTCGAGTCGCTCAGATGGGACGCAAAATCCGAGGTCCCGCGTACTAGTAACAGAAGCCCTGGCAGTTGGAATCATATCAAGAATAGACCGTAAAGCCATCTTTCTGGGCAACATTTCCCAAATAACACATTGTGTGTGGAGTCCCTAAATAACCTAGTTTGTGTGGAGTGGACGTTAAACCCTACCCATTCGCTATTTTACAACAAGAGTGACGTATCACTCATAATAATATAATGGCATCTACTTCAATCTTTTTAAAATTTAGTTGATCTAGAAGTAATGGATATCGTTTTGTTTTATTTATGACATCATTCTGGTGAATATATCTGAAACAGGGATTTTAATGTATAATTATTTGTCTGTCAGTGGTGTAACTGTCCTGTCTTTCGGATGGGACTATAAACCGAGGCCCCGTGTATACATTGGCTGCACGGAAAAGATCCCTTGACAGTTGGAATTCGATATAAGAGTAGGCCGTAGTGCCGCTGCCCGGGCAAACAAAATGCCTCATAGCACACTGCATTTCGTATGCCCGTCATCATTAGCCCAGAACAGTAGGATGTTAAACTCCATTTCGTTTCATTTCTATTGAAATACCTAGTCGCGATCACGTCAGCCTTTTATTGTTTCTTCGTCGAAAACAACAAAATATAATCTGGACATTTTAGACTGAGATGATCATGACTATGAAATACCCCGTACACGATTTGTACCAACTGGTACACCTGAACTAATTAACAGATCCTAAACATTTAAACTGGACAATGATGAAATGGTTTTATGACCTCGACTATTAAACACAGTCTTTGTTATCAAGTCATTTATCTTCATCATTAATGGACCCGTCAATCTTGTCGGGGCACTTCAATAGCCTTAATCGACTATCAATTTCGTAATGCCCAGTCTAAGATCAAAGGCCTTAAGGCATTGCGTATTACATTACTGTTCTTTTCTGTTGGTGACTCTTTTTATTTTCATTTTTTTCTTATTTTGAATTTCATCTAGAAACGATCCATTAGTCTGAAATGTGCGACTGCTTCTTCAGGAGGAATCAAGGTAGCTCAGTGATTAATAAGACATTAGCTTCCTGGCCAAGCGGTCCCGTTAGCTTCCTGGCCACGCGGTCCCGTTAGCTTCCTGGCCAAGCGGTCCCGTTAGCTTCCTGGCCAAGCGGTCCTGTTTTCAATCCGGATGATGACCGCGAGAAAGTTGTTGTCAGTGACCGAGGTCCTGTGTATACGTTATATAGTATTTTAATTCGATGAAGATTACGGGGAGAATATCACCTCAGGGGCGGATCCAGAGGGGGGTCCAAACCCCACCCTGCTCAGCTACATAAAATAAAATTGAATGCCTTGCATCAATGAAATTAAATCACAATGTGTTCCTACATCATTACAAAAATGATTTCTCTCCTTAAAAAGCTCAATTTGTATGTATGCTTATGTAATTTAGAGACGATGGTGACAGATTTCCTTAACAGGAACCTGGCAAACCCCCTCCTGCAAAAATTCCTGGATCCGCCCCTGCACCTGTCTCCATAAGCCCGCAGGCCCTACTAAATCCTTTAAACGTTTTGTCCGGGTCAAAAAGTCAAGTTAGGGTTGAAACGACTACGATAACCCAACCCATACATTTCCCCGCTCAATCGATTTTAACCAAACTTTCAACAAAATTTCCAGTCATCGATAAGTGCGAAATGAAAAGGACACTAGGTATTAAAAGGTCGTGACCTCTTTAAATTAGATAAATGATTTAATCATGTGTTGATATGGTTCAAGAAATGACTATAATCCCCAATAGATAAAGCGAATAGTGAGATATGACTTATTTGGCCCCTTTTCGGGGTGCAGAAGGGCTGGTGTGGCGGAGAGATAGAAATGGGGTTTAACGTCCACTCGACACAAACTAGGTCATTTCGGGACTAACATGTGGTTTAATTTTGTTTCAATAATTCACTTGCGCGTAGGGGTCTGTAGCAGTGGGAGGAAACCGGAGGACCCGGAGAAAACCCACGAGG